GGCCAAAGGCAGGCCAATTTCAGTGGCGCAGGCAGGTGGCGCAGGGGGCACGTGCCCCATTCCCTTATGTCCCGAAAGGTCTGAGAGGCTCCTTGGGACCGACAATGAAGGGCCCGGTTAAAGTGGCCCAAAGGCCCCGAAGGGCTGGCCGGCCGTTACTCCAAGGATCACAGGACGGGGATCCCCGTTCTGCGAGTTGGGCAGTCAAATGCCAGTCGGAGGGCTGTTTGCGCCGATTGGGGACCTCCCCAGATCACGCCCTCTATGACGAGCAGGCGCCACCGGTACCGAACAGTCGGCTGCGTGTAGGTCGGAATGTGAGGGCCCATTTCCCAAGCAGGGACATGGTTGGGGCCTGCAGTTTGCAATAGACGGGGCTCCTGCGTCAATTGGGGGGCCCCGCCAGGGGCTCTTCGGTACCGATGATCAAGTTCCCGATAGGAAGGTTTAGGCGCTGGCTGTAGGCACATCAGGGATGCCGGCAGCGGTAAAAAAGCTTCTCATTTAACGAGTATGATCGGTGACAAAAACGGCCACTTTTGCGAGCCAACTGGTGCCAAAATTACGAAAAAGCAACAAATTACAACAGACTAGACCATATTACAAGAGACCATTCTAGTTAGACGAAACTCAAATCTCAGTAATGGTCTGTACTTGCTAACGCTTGTAGCGTGAGCTTGTTTACAGCACATGTCGAAACGTTAACGTTTCGCTGTATGGGTAAACTGGGCCACAAGATAATCCCAAACAAAGAAACGTTAATCAGGATAGTTACTGGCGGGTGACAAAAATCGACTGCAAACTATATTATATCAGCGCTGACATCACAGATCAGTGGTGACACAGCGCTTTTCCAATGCCCTTTACATCATTGTTTTTCATAGATTTTTCAGTGAAACTTCACGTAACATATTAAACAGCATAAAATATAGAGTCGCGGAAGCGATTACAAGTCGCAAGAATCGTGGCTGGCCACAACATCTTGCGACGAGCGCGACAGGCTTGCCGCGCGGCGTTTTAAAGCGTTGTGTCATCTGAGAGTGCCATCTGAGACAGATGGGCTCGAATGCTTGCCTCGCGGTAATGCATTGGGCTCAGTGCAAAGTGGTTGAATGCCGTTGGTAGTGATCATGTCGTAGGGAGTTGACTGGCTTCAAGAACGTAGCCAATCATCAGGTTTTTAAGGCGCTGTGCGGCCTTTCTAATAATCTACCTTGGAGGGTGTCCCTGGCAACAATGACACTAAAAGCTCCGCCGATCTAGGAGCCTTGTAGTTTGTGGGTGCCCGAAGTGCAGCTTTAGAGGCCAACGGAGGACATTGGAATAACCGGACTCATCTGGGATTCATCATGTCAAGAATTCATCTACGGCTTCCTGTTGCTGAGAGAAACAGCGGCTTTGAGGTAAAATATCGATTGCCGAGCATCGCCGGTATAGGCCTCTCACGTCAGTCGCACCTCAGACTTACTGTTATGACCGGCGGACAGGCGTGAGATAAAGCGCTTTTAATCGTCATTGGATTATATTTGGTGCTAAATGAAGGTGATAGAGGCGTTCATAAATAACGTCTTGTGCATT